TTTAAAAGCAAGTACTGCTCACTCAGTCGGCAAAAAAGGCAATATTTAAAGATATTCTTGCTTTAATGCCGCCTGTGTCCTGCAGCAGAAGAATTTAAAAGCTAGCTTCTTATCGTCCAAAGAATGATGTGCAACTTGTTTGTAATAAAATTACTAAAATTAATAACTTCTAGGTTTCAAATGTAATGAAAATTATTACTATATTCCAAATATCACTTCCGTGTACATTAATTAGCTTTTGTGTCAGGCCTGGTAAAACCGAGATAAGTTCGGATATCATGCATTTGTGCTTTAAATTTGCAAACATTTTTGCCCATTACTTTAATGCATTTAAAGGGAATAATGTAAGGAGATCACTATAATTAAATCAAAGCAAATTTGCCTCTATTTCAGGTTGAAAACTTAGAAATTTGCCTCTAGAAGGTCCACATAGAAAATGAAACAGTTTTTAATTATATAATCTATTATTCATATTCAAATGCTTATATATGCTGTAGAGCTTCAATTTAGGTAAAATTTATTTCCAATTGTGAGAGATCCAATTAGGGTATTAATTACCTAAGAGTATGAATTTGACTTTTAAAAATTAGTATTTTATCCTTGAATCAAATATAAATGGAGAGAATATTCAGAGTTTAATTCCTATGTATATTAATTGACTTTTTTAATTAAAATGTCTTAAAATGCATTTTTATTAATGTTTACTTAATGAGAAAAAAAATTTTTATAATGCGATCTGCCTCTGTACACGTTATTGCCCTTAATACCCTCATAAAGCTCGATACATCTACATATTTTTGGTAACCATTTTGCCTTTTATCTTCTTAGGAAGATTTATGCAGATAAATAGTAATAAATTAAATGAATTCCATAAAGATTCCAAATCGATTTTTGAAAAAAATTATTTTCAGAAAGACCTGCCTAATGTTTTCAGAGGAACAAGCAACTTCAGACCTGCAGCTTTCGTTTTCGTAAATATTACAAATGTGTTCATAGGTATTCAGATGCAGTTGTGATTTCTTTTTAACATTATTTTCGCTAGTTAAACTTAAGTTATTCATATAATCATGTGCTGAGGCGACCTTTTTAGAAGAACCAAGCCGTGTATCTACGTGCAAATCCTGTTGTTGATGGATACTATTATTTAGGTTAAGTACAATGTTCATGAATGCTTTTTTATTTCCTTGCTTCTGTACATTTTTCAATATCGCAATATTCTTTACTTGATTAATTTCGTTGATAACTCCAGGTTTATGGATAATAGATAAGTGATCCGAAGCATTTTGAGTGGTCATAGTTGCACAAGGGGATTTTTTCAAAAGAGAGGAAGGTGAAATTAGCTGTAACTGGTGCTGTTTAGATGAAATTTCAAGATGAGATGATCGTTCTGATTCACACAAATTGGCTAAAATTTCTGTTTGACGTTTTTCGTCCTGAGACATAGTTGATGAAATTTCGTCAACTGAGTTGTAAAACCCACTTTTGCTAACTGGATAAGCCGGATGACTTTGAGAATCCACTTTATCTCCTGAAAGGGACTGTACGATTTGCATTCTGATATTTGGACTTCCTTGGAACATAGCAGTATTTTTGCTGTGTTGCGATGTTGGGAGGTGGCTGGGCTGAATCTGCTGTTGGTTCGAATGCTTAGGTGAATGGTGCTTCTGATGAGGCGAAGTGAGTTGTGAGCAGGCTCCAGCTGAATGGGCCATTTGGCTCTTGGCGAACAGAGCGGCTTTTCCGAGAGTTGGTGTTCCGGGTCTGGTGCGAAAACTTGAAATGGTAGTGACAGGAGTTGTCGCAGGCCAAACCGCTGATCCATGGCCGTCTATTGAGACGAAGGTGATTGGCGAAGCAGCCAGACAGCAACCGCGCTGCAATTGCGACTGGCAGACTGACCTCTGGTCTGAAAAACAGGGCCTACAAGTCTGATCTGTGGGTATTTCTTTATGACAGTTTTGTGGGGAACTGGACTGCAGATTGTAGGCGCCAGCGAATCCGTTTCCCTGTCGAAACACAGGTGGTGAAGAAGTTGGAGGCGGCGGAATATGAATTAAAGGTTTGTTGGAATGATTTATGGGCCCCAGTAAAGGGAATCCTAGAGTGAAAAGGCCTACTTCAAAATCTGTATCAGGTACTCGCTGATGGCTTGAATCTGTGTGACTACGTCGCAAGCCGGGGTTCGCAAGACAGGGTACTGCCAGCGGCCGGGCATTTTGCTCTTTAGCTGTCTGAGAGGCAGTTGTTTCAGTCCTTGTCAGTGGGTCACAGAGGTTTGAAGTAAGCTGCAGTTCGTTATATGATTGTACCATACTGAGGCAAACATGGGATCAGGAAAAAAAATTACATTAACTTTTGAAAGACAAAGCTGCCTCCTTCCAACCAGCTCTCATAACTTTCTTGTGAGTTAAATAATAGTTATTGATAATGCTATAATAAAAATTATGTAAGCTCTAAAACAATTAAGGGCTTAAGCTTTTGTGTATTTTTCTGATTGAATGAAGTTGCTCTCGTCCTAAACATGCACACTTGGGCAACGGTCAAACACGTACTTTGAGGGAAATATCTTAAAATAAGGTAGAACATTTATTTTTTCTTATAAAAATATTTTTCAAGCCATAGGATGAATAAGCTCTTATTCAAGCATGCCTTTATCTAAAACTCTAAATTTGCGTTATGCTTCCCGTCTTTGAAGCTTTTGTCACAGATAAAATAGTTTGTGAAAACCTATGCAAGTTTTTAGCCGATTCTAAAATTATTGCAAATTATAATAGAGCCAGAAAGTCTTATTGTTGGTTAGCCAATTCTTGTTGTGGAATAAATAGGCGTGAAATTTTACCGACTTCTCACTACAATGGTTCATTTTGACCTCTTAAATGTTATTTTATTGATTACAGGCTGCTTTCTGAATTTACCTTAGAAACAACTTTGAAGTTACTACATTAGTAGCAATAAAAGACAGCCATCGGAACCGTTTTGAATAAGTACGTGCACTTTCACTTTCCTAGTGTTTGCCAAATAAATAACCATCGGGTATCTTAGAATCGCATAAATATGAGCATATCCTTGTTTACTTCTAGCCAGAATGTTTAGTAAACCGAAACAACTTCGCATGATTGCTTTCAGTCACAAGGAGCTCAATTTCAGCTTTCTTGTCCTCTGTTAGATTTTTGGTTTACACTTTTATATATAATTATATCTTGGAGTTAGAGCGGTCTGACACCAACAATAAGACAGATAAGCAATAATACTGCAAAGCACCTAATACATACATTGGTATTTAGAATTTGTCATTGTAATTTAAGTTTATCCTGTTTGTTCTATTCACTTATTTTTGCCATAGGTTTCAAATTCGAAATACAAGTCCTTTTAAATGGAACTCATCCTCATCTTTTAATTGTACTTTGCTAATTAGGCATCATTACACAATTCAGCCAAAAAATAATTTGTTTGAAAGTAAGGTTAGACTAAAAAGAATTTCAGAAATTTTGTAGAGCATGAACATACATCAACTTTATGTCACCAATTTTTTTCATAGTATCAATACATCTCAATCTCATATATTAAATTAAAAACTTGAGCGTTATTAAGGGTAAAGAGAAATTAAAATTCTTACTAATGCAAATAAAGTCTTGTAATTGCTTTGTACCTACCAGTTATCTTTTTTCACACACGGTAATGGCTGCTCGATGGGTGTAATCCGTTTGAAGTAGGATGTTTTAGCAAAAGGTCCCCGGAATAGACCCTATGAAAACCGAATAGATCAAGTTTTTAGGGGGTTTATCTACGATACTGTGACCGTAAACAAAGGGGTAAAATTTATTTGTAGTCACGAGATATTTTAAATAAATACTTCATTTTACTTTCTTACGTTTTATCCTAACTTGAAAATACCTCCGCACTTAAAAACTTCACCTATTAATTATGAAATTGTCAAGATTTTGTTGCGTTGATTGGCATTTAAAATAAAGATGCAACATTATAAGCTTTGCATAATTTTCTTAAATGCTTTATTATACCTACCTTTTAGTTACACTTTTCAATTAAATTCTAATTTATATTTTCCAAAAAGAATGTCAATTCCATTAGAAAGATTATTTATTTAAAAGTGCTAGAGATGCTAATGGTAGCAATCCTATAAGATGGAACAATGTGACTCAGTAGCGAAACTAAACTTCAACTTACTTTCATCGTGAATAAGATGTTATTATATGATAAATATTTTGAATATATCAACTCAGAACCTTATTGTTATTAAGTTCATTTAAAAAAGTATGATCCTTTTTATAAAATATAATCAGCTCTATCAGTTACTAGAGCTTAGAATTCACCAGGTTTTCTCCAGCTTCATGAATGTATTAGATAATTTTGTCCTATACCGACTAATGTATCCATCACAGTTTAAATCAGTCCCTTTATAATGGACCTTCAGAACTGTCCTGGAATTAAGGTTTGATTGCACTAGTTGGATTTGATTGGATTGTTGTTTCTCACTACAAGCGTGCCTTAGAATTTTTAGTATTCATACTTTCCTCTTCCCCTATTTATACAAGTTTCATCAAATATTTTTAATTAATTCTAGCATGCACGAGGTTTTCAGCATTAAGCCCCTACTGATTTGTAAATCTCATTTTTAGTTATTGCAAGTTAGTTTATTGATCACAGCTAATGCCCATTTGAAAAGTGTGAATACTAGAATCCAAGTTAACTCTTA